AAGACTAGATTCCTCCCAAGAGGTACGTAATGGTTCAAACTTATAAATAGAAAATGTAACGACCAAGGCTACAGCATTCCACAGAAAGACAAGAAATTAAAGCATGCAAATGGGATTATATCCCTTGATATATCGATGACAACCGAATGAAACGAGGGACCGCGAAAGCATTCGGCTCTTTCCGTATCAATTCCGAAAAACAACGACTATTGGTATTTGACGAAGCGTTCTCTAGCTATTTGTTGCCCAATCTCAGCGTACGCGGGACTAATTTCCCAACGGTTTCTTCCTGGCAGCTATGGGAACGAAAAAATAAATAAATACTTTTTTCTCTATCAAATGAGTTCATGCAATAAAAACAACTCCCACTCCGTGCGATTAGGGAATTGAATATGAAAAAAGAAAAGAAAGAAAAACTTATTCGAAGAGATAATGAGTCTTGCCAACTTCTACTCATCTTATTTTTGGTATACCAAGGCAATTTAATTGATGATATTATCACTGTGATTTCTTATTAGATGGCCTCGAATATATATCATGTTTACACACGATTGTTCTTATTTGTTCCTTTAAATGTATATCACTCCAGGAAAGGACATTGACCCACACTTTATTATTGGTGATCAACGTTTATTTTCCAAACAAAGGTTATCCCTGTCCCACACAAATCGCAGCAAAAATTCTGCTTAGTTAAAAAAAACCTCCAGATGTGCTTTTATTCATTAAGAAACTTGATTCGTGATTAATGTTTCTTGTGTTACAATCAATCAATAAATGATGAATAAATGGTCCCTGTACACATCTTCTGTTTAATCTTTACTTTGACCTTTCCTTTGGAGATTATGCGCGCGATATTGAGCATCACAATGATGAACATTTGTGCCAAGTTACATTAAATTCCCCTGATGAATGTAGAGGTTTTGCTCCGAGCAAGCATTCTTCAATAACTTCAAGTACGACCTTGACCTTTGACCTAGAGAGCCGGTTATGCACGTGACACTACTCATAGTGGTGAACATTTCTATGAAGTTTCATTAGAATACCTCCATAAGTGTACGAGATATGCTCTGGACAAAATCTCTACATTTAATCACATTAAGTGACCTTGACCTTGCATATATTAACCTATATTACATGTTTCACAATGACCATTTGTGTTTCAATATATGATGACTAAATGGTCCAAATACATAATTTTTATCTGAACTTTGACCTCTCTGTGTGACCTTGGCAACAGGGACCTAAACGCCACACCCCGCCTTACAATGGTGAAGTTTGAGCCAAGTTATATATATGTAGAAGGTTTGCTCCGGACAAGCGTTTTCCAATGAAGTGTGTTTTTGACCTTTGACTTGGTTCATGCGCGAGACACATCTCCTCATGCTGTTGAACATGTCTATGAATTTCATTAAAATTCTTACATGCGTGTAGGAGAAATGCTACGGACAAAAATGGACGCCGTCCGCCCGCCAGGTAAAAAAACTATACCGCCCGTTTGAAAAAAGCTTTTTTAAGCTTCATACTTAACCATATAATTTATTTTTATGTTCTATATTATTTAAATGAAAAGATTACAAAACAAAATAATTTGTAAATTAAATAATTTTACATGTTAGAACATGCGTTTTGATAATCAAAATAATAAAATTAAAACCGAGGAAGTCAACGGTAAAGATTCTCACATTGCATTGACGTTCCGACTAGCTTAAAGCCCTGTACCTCGGTTAACCAGTTCTGTACCTTGGTTACCCAGCTCTGTACCTTGGTTACCCAGCTCTGTACCTCGGTTACCCAGATATGTACCTCGGTAACCCAGTTTCGTACTGTGGTTACCCAGCTCTGTACCTTGGGTACCCAGTTCTGTACCTCAGTTACTCAGCTCTTTACCTCAGTTACCCAGTTATGTACCTCAGTTATCCAGCTTTGTACCGCGGTTACCCAGTTCTGTACATCGGTTACCCAGTTCTGTGCCTCGGTTACCCAGCTTTGTACCTCAGTTCTGCACCTCGGTTACCCAGTTTTGTACCTTGGTTACCAAGCTCTGTACAAAACTCATTACAAGTGAATGGGGATTAAACAACAGTACATAAAAAACTTGCGAACTTTCACAAATAATTTATTATAAAATGTACAAGATAAAACAAAAGGTCAAATAAAGAAAATAAATGTATCTAAACTAAAATCATAATATTTATTGTCTACACTTAAATACTGTTTCCCAGCTACAAAAATATTTCATAATGATTAATTTTAAGTGTCAACAAACAGTATAGAGCATGGTCAGACTGAACAAATGTACATGCTGGCTTGGCCTTTAAACTGGTGGCAACCCTATTTAGTCATTAGCAGCTTTCCTTGTGGAGGAAGACCTCAGGTTCCCCTCCATGCATTATTTCAGACATGAACGGGCACGTGAATAGAACCACCAACATTCTGTATGCTAGTTGGATACTTTCCTCACATGAAAGAATCCAAAGTCACTTGCATGACTCGAACACACAGTGGTGAGGGGCAATGGTTTGAAGTCAACAACCATAGTAAACCCTTATCCTGCTAAGTGAGAATTATGTATATTATTAGTTATAAAGATTGTTGACAGGTTATATGGCCCTATATAAACGGTAGTTTGTAGATATAACCTGAGCCACTAGGCAAGGGTTATATTGCAAACAGCCGTTTATATACAGCAATACAACGAATTTATAATACAGCAAGTATTATTTTTTAGAGAAAAAAGTAAGATTTCTTCATGAATCAACAGCAGCCGTGTATATAAAACTATATAAACGTCATGATTATCCAATGAAAAGCGACGTTACAAACGTGCAGTATCATAAAGTTTATTTAAACTGTCAATGAAATACATAGAAGATATCCAAGTTTCTTCTTTAAATACAGGATTTATTTCCATCGAGTAAAATATTTCATGAGTTGCAGTAGCCATGGAGTTCCAAAACTCTTGCATTAAACATTTTACTAAAATTAATAGTCAATAACTACTTAGTAATTCCTGCAACATTGTGTCAGTTGCTGATAACTGTCAAAACAAAAAATAAAATGCTTTTTTATTTTCAAAGACTGGCAAAAATTAAAATCACAACCATATGTTTTAAGGAACCTTGCTGGTATATAGACGTAGGCTTATTGCAAGATATCAAACAACCTCAGTCAATTTTTGGCCACTTTCCACATTTAGAATAATTCTGGAAAAAGGAGTAAGCAAATAATCTGAAATTGTGCACTCAAGTTATTTGTCTAGACCTTCATCAAGTTGAACATAAATCTAAACTAGAAATGTGTCATCATGCCACGGATGCCCCCGCATGCAGCCAAAATTTCAGATGGTGCATTAATTATTTTTTTCATTTTAAGTTCAAAGCCCTTAAAACTTTAAAATGTTAACAAAAACCATTTTCATACAATGTTCAAGACACTGAAATTATTCAGTTTTAACCTTTTAAAAATAACATATTTCATATTTGTAGCCAAAATAATGGCTAAAAGTATGAGTGCTGAAACTGAAAGTACAAAATTTTTCCAACATTCAGGAAAGATAAGTTGAACCACAACCAAATTCATACTTAAACTGCTTATTCCTAAGATGTATCTATATTATTTTCAAAGTGAAAGGGACATAACTCTGCAAAAAAAAATCATCAAACCATGACCAAATTTCAACTTGACCTGCCCATTCCTTTGACATATCCATATGTCAAATTTAAGTTGAATATGTAACACTGTTGGGTAGGTAATGAACAGAAACTGAAAATTTCATATTATTTTCAAAGTGAAAGGGACATAACTCTGCAAAAAAATCATTGACCCATGACCGAATTCGAACTTAGCCCATATTTCCATATGTACAGTTTGAGTTGAATGTGTAATACCGTTGGGGAGATAATAAACGGAAACTGAAAATTTCATTTTATTTTCACAGCAAAAGGGGCATAACTCTGCCCAAAATCATCTAACCATTACCAAATTTGAACATGACCTGCGCATTCTTTTGACGCATCCATATGTCAAGTTTGAGTTGAATGTGTTGTACCGTTGGGGAGATAATGAACGGAAACTGAAAATTTCACATTATTTTCAAAGTAAAAGGGGCATAACTCTGCCAAAAATCATCGAACCATGACCAAATTCTAACTTGGCCTGTATTTTCTAATGACATATCCATATGTCAAGTTTGAGTTGAATGTGTTGTACCGTTGGGGAGAAAATAAACGGAAACTGAAAATTTCACATTATTTTCAAAGTAAAAGGGGCATAACTCTGCCAAAAATCATCGAACCATGACCAAATTCGAACTTGGCCTGGGCATTCCAAAAACATATCCATATGTCAAATTTGAGTTGAATGTGTTGTACCGTTGGGGAGATAATGAACGGAAACTGAAAATTCACATTATTTTCAAAGTAAAAGGGGCATAACTCTGCCAAAAATCATCGAACCATGACCAAATTCGAACTTGGCCTTATTTTCTAATGACATATCCATATGTCAAGTTTGAGTTGAATGTGTTGTACCGTTGGGGAGATAATGAACGGAAACTGAAAATTTCATATTATTTTCAAAGTAAAAGGGGCATAACTCTGCCAAAAATCATCGAACCATGACCAAATTCGAACTTGACCTGTATTTTGTCATGGCATATCCATATGTCAAGTTTGAGTTGAATGTGTTGTACTGTTGGGGAGATAATGAACGGAAACTGAAATTTCATATTATTTTCAAAGTAAAAGGGGCATAACTCTGTCAAAAATCATCGAACCATGACCAAATTCGAACTTGACCTGTATTTTGTCATGACTCATATGTCAAATTTGAGTTGAATGTGTGCAACCGTTCTTAAGATAATGAACGGAATCTGATGATGACGGAATGACAGAATGACGGAAGGACGGAATGACGGAACAGGGTAACACTATATGCCCCGGCCATTACATGGCGGGGGCATAAAAAAAATTATTTTCAGTACCGTCATGCCAAACCACCACCCCCCCCACAAAACAGCCTCAGTGGAGTCCCTTTAAGGTTTGATACATCAAGATTTATTTGTGTAAAAAATATATCTTTACTATACAACAATAGGACAACAATAAAAATACAAAAAGCCTTTGAAAAGGCAGTGTATATCAAAATACTGGAATGTAATATCTATACACGCACAAACATTTTTGTTTACTGACCTCTGTATACAATATCAACAAAAAATATATTATATATAACATCAACAATTAATTAAATTTTCTAGTTGTTCAGGTGGGAAACAAAAAATACTAGCATTTTCAACCTGAGGCCAGTGTAAGGCCCCTACTGTCAATGCAAAAAAACATAGTATTGTTGGTTTTTTCTAGAACTGTCATTGATTCATAGCAAAGCATATTGACGATACATTGATATTGATATCAGATGACAATTTTGTATATATTTTTGGTGAATTTTCATAATTCGTAGACATTAACATAATTAACCAAAACATTTTGACAGCTTATAATCTATATGGAAATTTAATGACTGGCACAGTCTTGGGAAAATATGAGAAAATAATATCGCAACAATGCGTAAAATAGTATCACAGAAATTAAGTTTTATCAAAACACCAAATCCTACCCCTTGATCAGTTGAATTTCGTAAATGGACATTTCCATCTCCCATTTATGGGTCAGCCAATTAATCTTTTAGGGATATCGAAATAAAAAATTTGAATTTGAGCAGCTAACAAAATTTACAGTATGACGAGCTTGGTCAGACGACGTTAATGTGCAGACTGGCCCGGCTCTCTCCTGCTGGCAAAGATCAATCACTTTCAGTTTCATCATGAGCAGCGTAAAACAAACTGCCAAATATATTGTTCCACTATAAAACGTTCCTTTCCTTAAATAATTTGTCAAGTTCTTTCTCCATAATTTCATTTGTTCCCCTAAGGCCTGCCACCACCTTTGAAGCCCATTCAAAATATTTGTGCACACGTTCCTCGGTCCAGCCTTCAGGTGTTGCACGATTCAGATCTCGAAGGTTGTACAGTTTGTCAGCTAGTTTCACGAGCTTCGCTTTCGGACTGGTATTAGGAGCATGCTTGATCTGTTCCAGTTTACGTAGAGGACTTGGTAATGATTTATTATCCGTTACCTCCCTAACCAGACCTGAAAGTATAAAAATTAAAGTTACCTCACATACAAAACCTGAAAGTATAAAAGTTAAAGTAACCTCCCTTACTAGACCTGAAAGTATAAAAATTAAAGTTACCTCCCTTACTAGACTGGAAGTTTAATAATTAAAGTTACCTCCCTAAATAAACCTGAAAGTATAAAAATTAAAGTTACCTCCCTTACCAGACCTGAAAGTTTAATAATTAAAGTTACCTCCCTAAATAAACCTGAAAGTATAAAAATTTAAGTTACCTCCCTTACCAGACCTGAAAGTATAAAAATTTAAGTTACCTCCCTTACCAGACCTGAAAGTATAAAAGTTAAAGTTACCTCCCTTACTAGACCTGAAAGTATAAAAGTTAAAGTTACCTCCCTTACTAGACCTGAAAGTATAAAAGTTAAAGTTACCTCCCTTACTAGACCTGAAAGTATAAAAGTTAAAGTTACCTCCCTTACTAGACCTGAAAGTATAAAAGTTAAAGTTACCTCCTTTACTGGACCTAAAGTATAAAAGTTAAAGTTACCTCCCATACTAGACCTGAAAGTATAAAAGTTAAAGTTACCTCCCTTACTAGACCTGAAAGTATAAAAGATAAAGTTGCCTCCCTTACTAGACCTGAAAGTATAAAAGTTAAAGTTGCCTCCCTAACTAAACCTGAAAGTATAAAAGATAAAGTTGCCTCCCTTACTAGACCTGAAAGTATAAAAGTTAAAGTTGCCTCCCTTACTAGACCTGAAAGTATAAAAGTTAAAGTTACCTCCCTTACTAGACTGGAAGTATAAAAGATAAAGTTGCCTCCCTTACTAGACCTGAAAGTATAAAAGTTAAAGTTACCTCCCTTACCAGACCTGAATTTATACAAGTTAAGTATTTCTGTCTTAACTATTTACATATTTCGAACATGAACTGCTCTTTATTATGTAGAAGATGAGTAGAATTTGTTGACATCAACTGACTAAAAGTTAGTAACCAGGTTATATTGAGGGATTGAAATAAAAGTTGAATAACCCCCAAAAAACATAAAACGACTTACAGAAGGTAAGCCACAACAAATAGATGCAATAAAACCATGTGATTCATACATGAAGTTCAATGGTTTTGATGAGTGTAAGAGGCAAAAAAAACACATCAGTAACATTTGTATTCAGTTAAATCAGGTTTAAGATATTGCAATTTGCTATATTATTATGTTGAATAGATTCATTTAGTGCGCTACACTTGAAAACTGGAAAAACAATTTTTTACCATTATAATCATTCTATTATAACCATTTGTAAATTTCAAATTCCCTAGAAAAAAGAAATTGTATAGAAACAAAATATCATCAAGGGAAGGAACTGTATTTGAAAGGTGAAACAGTTAAGGTTTAATTTATCTCCCCTGTACCAAAAATAGAAAAGAATTATTTGAAACCCTGAATTATCATATCCATTAATTATTAATATGATAATACATGTAATAATTATGAAATGTCATTAGTTTTCATGATCTGTCAAATTCTGCCAGTGTTTTAAAGCAGCTTGCTATCTGTGCATACCCTGAGTATCATATACCCAGTAAAACTTATCAATGTTATGATTTTAAGTGTTTTAAGCATTTATATGTAATTTATAATGATGTGTTACATGTGTAAGAAAGAGTTCTATAACTGTAAACAAGGGGGGGGGGGTATTCATATTACACTATATATATAAAAGGTTTTTTTTTTAAGTGAAGGGACCAAAAATATATTTTCAAAATTTTTTTAAACTAGATTAATGTCTAAACCAAACACTCATGTTTAAATTTTCAGATCATAATCACTCATTCCTTTCCCAGAAATAATCATTTTTATTGTGCATATTAGCCCAAATCATGAAAACCATTGCAATGCTTTTCACTCAAATTGGCTAAAAATCTCATAAAAATTGATATCAATTTAAAACAGTGTATATTTATAAATTATCTATTGCCTGATTTTCAATTTCAAGTGTATAAGTTGATTTAAGAAAGAATTTCAAAATTTATTATTTTAGGTTATTGGACCTCAGGGGAGTTCCTTTAATTTAGACCATTTTATCTAACCACCACCATAAAACTTTTAAAATCTAAATGAACACACACATGCCTGTAACTTCTGGTCCGAAATGTTCCTCCAATTCCTCAAAAGAAGTGTCCGTATCCTCAACTGTATCATGAAGTAAGGCAGCCTTAAAATAAAAATGATAAAATACAAAACAGTATACTTATTAGATAGACCTGATTTTTAAGGATTTAACTGATAACAGGATTGGAGCAGTACTTCTAGACGCTTGCTGAAATCATGATCACAAAACAGACAAATATCACTTCTTTTCGCCATTTATTTCATTTTTCATTCATTATTATACATAAATCAGTGTGAAAAGATGAATTAGACCTTTTAAAGTTTATTCCGTTCAGTAAAAAGGCAAGATTTTATCATTCAAGCACCATGTCCGGTACTATACTGAAATATGGTATCTAGTGTGGTACTTCAATCCTTTTTTTAGTCTCAATCGATTTAAAGCTGCATGTCTCCACGTGAGTCAAAATATAAACCAAGAAAATAAAAATTAAGAAAAATGTATGATTTTAAGAAAAGTAAAAAGATTCAAATTTGAAGTTATTTTTTTAATGTTATGTGCAATTATTATGACTGATTTTGCAGTATTTGTCACCATATTTCTACAGCGTGACTAAACAGTCAAGGTTTTTTTTGTGCATATTATGACCTCTTTTTGATAGTTAATGTGGATTTTAAGTGCCCTATGCAATGCATAAAGTATTTTTCTTGTTCACTTTACAATATATTACATTAATTTTAAAAACATTTTCAAAATTTTCATTAAAAGTGGCATGAATCTGGAGACGTGCTTTGAAATATTTACATTTTGAGCACAATGGGCCTTTATTTAGAAAAACAGTTTACAAAATTTGTCATCAGATCCTATTATGCAAGTGCCTGTTATAGCCACTTACTACAAAACAATTAAGAGGTGTCATAAACTTGTATCATAAACTATGTTAACAAAGAACATTATATCATAAAAATTATCTTGATATAAGGTTCTAAGGAAAAAATTTAATATACTTGTCCGTTGGTTTAACATTCTTGGGTCGAACAAGTCGGGCATAGGATTTTCAACAACCCTGTTTTATCTTGATATAATGGAGTTACTTACTTGAATTACATGGACATCAGTGACACCAGCCTCTTCTGTTAGTATATAAGCCACTCCTGAAGAGAAAAAATGCTACAAATTATGAATTATATATTTTTTCATTTTACAATTTCAGTTACCAAAGCAACCATTTTTTTTTCACTGATGTAAACATTAAAGGGACTCCACTGAGGATTTTTTTTTTTTGACATGACTGGATTGGAAATAATTTTTCGAGATTATTATTCTATTTGATGTAAGTCGACTAGACCAATAACTTGTGTGCAAAATTTCAGATAATTTGATAATTCCCCTTTCCCTGAATAATTATTTTAAATTTGAACAAGAAACATGGCAATGCCATGAAACCAGGTTTTCAATTATCACCATTGTAGATAAATATGTTGTATTTGAAATACAAATACAAGCAACAAACAATGTAACTATGTGCAATGTAAAACATGAATAATGTAGGAGGAATTGCCACTGAAGAAGTGTTCACTATAATATTATGTATAAGGAAAAAAACAAAGGGCCATAATTAGGTCAAAAACTATCCAATCACAAAACCCCGACAATATGTGCCAGGGTTCTTGATGACAAAGCTTCTGTGAAAGTTTGAACAAAATCCGTTGAGAAATGTAGGACGAGTTCAGCACAGAAGAATTTGTTCACTATAATTATATTGATAATTCTGTATAATGAAAAACAAGTTACAAAGTAGACATGAAATAATATATCATATCTTTTTTAAATTACCTCCAAAGATGATATGACCTTTGACTGCCAAATCAAGTTAAAATCATGTAAACAGGATTTTCAATGTTAATGTCACTGTGACCTTGACCTTGGAGCCAGCCATGCGGAACATGCTTTCTGCACGTCATCTTGATGTGGTAAACATTTGTCTGAAGTTTCATCAAAATTCTTCAAAGGGTTGAAGAGTTACAGAGCGGACAGGATTTTCAATGTTAATGTCACTGTGACCTTGACCTTGGAGCCAGCCATGCGGAACATGCGTTCTGCACGTCATCTTGATGTGGTAAACATTTGTCTGAAGTTTCATCAAAATTCTTCAAAGGGTTGAAGAGTTACAGAGCGGACAGGATTTTCAATGTTAATGTCACTGTGACCTTGACCTTGGAGCCAGCCATGCGGAACATGCGTTCTGCACGTCATCTTGATGTGGTAAACATTTGTCTGAAGTTTCATCAAAATTCTTCAAAGGGTTGAAGAGTTACAGAGCGGACACAATTTCGTTTGACGCCCGCCCGCCCATCCGCCCAATGTCACTGTGACCTTGACCTTGGAGCCAGCCATGCGGAACATGCGTTCTGCACGTCATCTTGATGTGGTAAACATTTGTCTGAAGTTTCATCAAAATTCTTCAAAGGGTTGAAGAGTTACAGAGCGGACAGGATTTTCAATGTTAATGTCACTGTGACCTTGACCTTGGAGCCAGCCATGCGGAACATGCGTTCTGCACGTCATCTTGATGTGGTAAACATTTGTCTGAAGTTTCATCAAAATTCTTCAAAGGGTTGAAGAGTTACAGAGCGGACACAATTTCGTTTGACGCCCGCCCATCCGCCCAGCCGCCCATCCGCCCATCCGCCCATCCGCCCGCCATACCCCAATCTAATAACCAGGATTTTCAAAATTGAAAACCTGGTTAAAAATGACCCAAAATATGAAAGCACTGCAACACTTTTCACCCAAATCGAGCTAGGAATAGCACAAAATATGATTTTAATTAATTTCTGAGTATAATTTCTTAATAATCTTTTGCATATTTTTCTGTTTTCAGTTCCCTAGCTAATTTATTTAAGAAATTCAAATTTTATGCTTTTAGGCCTTTGGACCTCAGTGGAGTTCCTTTAATATGCCATGAATAATCTCAATATGATCCTCAATCCACATACCAAGTATCATCAACATAATTTGCACTGGAGTTATAGCACAATCTAGATTTCTTTGAAAGATAAACAAGTTAAAATGAAAATGACATGCATTTTTTCCATATGAACCTCCATCCACATATGTACCAGCAACCCAGCTTTTCTACTTTTTTTAATTATGGTAGGATCCAGATTTCTTCGAACAGAATGAAAACAGATAGCTGAGGGAGGGACAGGGTGAAAAAATAACATGCTCTGCATAACAAACATCACCCTACTTTTTATATTTCAGTTCAGGGTTTTTTTACCCCTTAGCAGGGGGAATTTTAGTGTATGGGGGGAATTTTACTCTTTTCTTTTATGATCAAATATCAAATAAACTGTTTTTTATTTTCTTGCATATTATTTTTAAAAAAAATCCCAAATAGGTAACACTAAACTGTTCAGAAGTGATTGACAAGATTGGAAGAAAAGTTTTTAACACCTTACACCATCAGACATTTCTGCTGCTTAGCTTTCTTTTTGATTCTATCCCCCCCCCACCCAATCAAATAAGCATTGAGAAACACATTCAGACAAATGTCTTTATTTCCACTAATATGAACAATACATGGACCTAAAGTAAAATCTATTCATAAACTACATTTCTGTTTACACATCCACAATTCTAGTTGTTTCTGATGTAAATTATATAAAATTAAATCGATTGTTTATTATAAGATCGTTTTTCATCAGTTATTTCATAAAGTATCATGAAAACAAAACTTACAAGTTTGTAATTCACAGCAAATTTTACCCAGGTTGATGTAACAATTTGAAGACAAAAATTTTTTTTTACTTTTTACCTATGTTAGGGGGAAAAAAACATACTATTTTGGTGGGGGACTGCGGCCGATTATCGGCCACAGATTTGGTTGATCGAGGGCCCTGGGATAAAAATCAAGCCATAGGCTTTTATAAACAAGACACTGAACAGAACATGTTTTCAACAGAAATCACTTGAACAGGTATAAAAGTGAATGACAGACAAATGATTTTAGGTTACTATCAAAATATTTGTGTATTGTTGATATTTATTATCCGATATCAATACATGTATATCATTGATATGCCTTGCCTTGAATCAATGATAGCTCTAAATCCTACAAATCTATATCTACATCCGTATTGTCCATAGAAATGATTAAATAATGTTTCAGTTTATTTCTTGTATTTTCACATGGACTTTAATCCATAAAGTCTTCTTTTAAAAACACAAGTTTGCATCTTCATAATTATTTTAAAAGAGCGTGCAGCTAGAATTTACAATGCGTATAGGCTAGTCATATGTGACTTATATAAGGATAGATCCTTTGGCAATACAGGCCAGTATGACTAGCCAATTGATGCCTTATATTAACCGGGTCCCCGAGCTAGTCCAATATATCAGACAATGAGGGCTTGTTATAGTAGTAATGTAACGATTCGCCACACTAACGATTCGCCACATAACGATTCGCCACAGAGTAATAACGATTCGCCACAGTTAAATAACGATTCGCCACGTGTTCAAATACAAATTTTTTTCACATCTGTTTTCAAACTGTTGATGGAAAACTTTTTTCCATTTTATATTTCATTTGTTAATTACATAAATTAATTACACTAAATACACATTTTATTGAATAAAAACACACGAAAACCAAATATTTTATTAACAAAATTACATAACACATTTTATAACTTCGTTATTTATATAAACTGGAAAAATATACATGTACGTATATTTAGTTTGTCTTGTAATTTGTCTTTTGAATTTCTGAATATATTTAAATGCCATTATGTTTGTAATGTTTTGTACACGGACAATCTTTAAATATGACATTTTTTAAATGGATAATTAAGTCATGCCTTCTACTACCTTTAAGGTCTTTTCTAGTAGATGTTTTCATTGCCTACTTAAGTTATAGCCATACCTACAATTAGAAGAACTTCTTACGAATACAAACAGAACGCGTAAAGCGCATTACAAGTTACAACATAAATATTACTATTGCGAACTTTTGGAAGGAATTTGAATTTGACCATCTTTTGAATTTCATGAAAAAAAATCTTGAAAGTTTTTTCCAGCATTCTAAAGGATTTGAAAGTTAACTAATCCCGTTTGCGTCTACTGTGAGCTTTCTTTTTCTAGACATTGAATCAATTTGAAGGTATTAAATTGTAATGGCTAAAGTTATAAAAATAGATAAAAAAATGTCTACAAATTTATGTGGGTATTTTATCTTTATTTATTTATATTATTGTTTTAATGTCATTTAATAATGTACTGGAAATAAAAATTTCAAATGTCATAGATGCATATGGTCTACGAAATAAATGTGGTCTCAAAGACTACTAAACAATGGATAATTAGCCGAGAACATTTTTGGCAGCCTTTCTGTTTTATGTGACATAAATCAATTCAACTTAAAAGACATAATGTTTTAAGTCACATTGAACACTTTGACTTTAACAATTTTTGAAAAAAGTTACAAGGACTGTTCTATCTCCAAATGTTTTCTTAGGTTTTTAAGCAAGGAAATATTAAAATCCACAAATCTTTAACGATATTGAGTTGTTCTCAGACACCACGTTTAGTAGTTTTTAAATTTTCAAAATCCGACAATTAAAATAAAAAGTTATGCAATACTAAATCTTTATATGCTTTTTTTCTCAAAAACAAAAAAATGGCACTGAGAACAAAACGTTTTTCAAGCGACGCTGTGTTTCCACATTTTATACATGATGCCATCTTTGACACTTGCCACATATGTTACAGCACGTGGGTTTCTGTAGATACATCTTAAACAGAATGAACAAGGAGGAGCTGGCATGATTCTGATTTCGTTATTTTTCGTTTGTATACTATTTTATGTATGTGTTTAAGCTATTTAAACCCTCTTAATCGGCATATATCGGCTCGCTCAAATTAATTTGTAAACAAACATAAGCTTAATTGCCACACTGTTTTGAAATCTGAATACATTGTCAGATAATTAAAGGATTATTTCGGCGTCAATTAAATATTTCTACAACAATCCTAAGGTGATTGGCTTGTTTAAATTAAAGGTGTGACAAATGTTTTACATATGCGTTCTTTAATCAATTATCGTAAATCAATTTTCGTATGAACACATGTTTTTGCAATACTTTGTTTA